ATATTAAATAATTATTATTATTTTTTTTTCCCATTTGGTTTTAACATTTTATTCTTCTCTTCTTTTGCAGAAAACTGTTTTGGTGGAGAGTTCAAATAAAACCGGCACATTGAAAAGTGAGTGTGCAGTATGTGGGAGTCATGTACATCTGGTCCAGAGACAGCTGGTGGATGGAAAACTCTACCACCGGAGCTGCTTTAAGTGAGTATTCATTGGTGGTGCTTGGGAGCCATCACTATTATTTTGCATAACTTTTGACAAGTATTAAACTTTGTGCCTGTAACTACACTGTTTAGTCCTTTTATTGCCTTGTAACAACTACTATAATGCAACGATAACTTTTTCTTTTTTCTTTTTTTTTTTTTCAATCCTGCTCCTCCCATTTTTTTTTTTTAAACAGGTGTAGTGTATGCTATGGCACACTGAAATCTGGGGCATATAAACTGGGAGCAGATGCTGGCTCACTGGTCTGCACTATTCACCAACATGGCCAAAATGGCTTCAAGCCTACTGTTAAGCCTTTTAAGAGCAGTGGCTTTACACTCGCTGATTTGGTGCCCAAATATGACAGTGGAGCTCAGCCATCTTCACAGCACTACACCTCTGTATTATCTGCCCCCATCAAAGCTGCGCCCAGACCAGTGGAGCTCAGACCCGCTCCGCAGTCATGGACCACCTCTGCTCAGAGGACTCAGGAAGCCAGGCAGAAGTTTTTTCAGTCCGGTGGTCCAGCAGCAGAGCATTGGACCACCACAAGACAGCAGTCAGGCCCCTCAGAGTCCTGCACCAATCAGAACACAAGACTGAAGAAGGAGGAGAAAGACAGAACCAGTGCCCTGACAAATGTAAAACTATTTGAAGGAAACACAAATAACAACAATGCGCTTAATTCTGACCCAGGAGCACAGAGGCAGTGAGTGTCTAACCAATGATTACTGTCATGGTTTACAGCAGGGGCAGCCAGTGTCTGTCCTGGAGAGCCACAGTCCTGCATACTTCAGCTCCAAACCTAATCAAATGCACATAAACCAACTAATCAAGGTCTAAGGCAGGGATCCTCAAATCTGGCCCACGAGATCCACTTTCCTGCAGAGTTTAGCTCTAACCCTAATCAAACACACCTGAGCATGCTAATCACAATGTCTTCAGGATCATTAGAAAATCACAGGTAGGTGAGTTTGATCAGGGTTGGAGCTAAACTCTGCAGTGCATTGGCCCTCCAGGGCAAGATTTGAGGAACACTGGTCTAAGGGTTACTAGAAAGGTACAGGCAGGTGACTTATTAAGGTTGGGTTAAAACTCTGCAGGACTGGTTCTCTAGGACCGACGTTGGCCACCCCTGGTTTACAGTATTATTGATCAGTGATCAACAGTTTCACGGATTGCAAGTCATCTATTGAGCTTTTTGCACCAGAAATTGTAAATTGGAGGGTTTTTTTCCCAGATTTTTAACTGTTCATATGTAAATCAAGTGTGTTAAATGCGTTAATTTCAAAGCAATATTTTTCACCATAATTAATCTAAACGCGTTAAATTTTTACTAGGGAAAGTTTGTAAATTGAATGTTAAACTGCATTTTCATAATGTGAAGATTACAGACTATGAAGGTGATAATACTTGTTAATAGGGTTATTTATTTTTTAAAGAAGTGCCTAGCCACTTTGAAAATTACAAGTGTAAAATGTTGCTTAAGTCAAGCTTTAACTGGGTTTAAAGACATTAAGAATACTGTATAAAGTTTTAATGAATGCTTGGGGAGAAATGTTTAGGAAGCAAATGTTATTCTATAGCTATTCAAAAGTTTGGTATCGTTAAAATGTATTTAGAGCATTCAGTATTAGAACATGATTTAATGTGTCTTTTGATGGGGGGGGGGGGGGGGGGGGATGGGTTGATGGAGGGGGGGGGGGGGAGGGAATACAGAAATCTTAGTGACCCCAAACTTTTAAACAGTGTACAGCTGGTGCATCAAGTGTATGTAAATATACTGGGTAATGGAATCTTCACTGTCATCAACCTCAGTGTGAATAGGGTTGAACAACTGTAAGATCACATGTAAACAATTTTAATTTTAGAGCATTTCCTAAGGCAGCACCACCTAAAGAAAAACCTCTTTTTAAAGCCAAATGAAATATTATGCTTTTTACATGCACTGGTCAATTTGGAGATTTTGGGCTATTTTGCCTCCGTAACGTGAATAGTGGAAAGAAAAGTAACAATTACAATAAGTTTCTATAAAGGCTGTTTCAAATTAATTTTTTCTCATGCACTGAGCCAAACATTCCCACTTCAGTAGCACTTGCATACACCAGACTTTCCTTTTTTTTTTTTTTTTACAGAGAGGTTCACATGTCAATTCCATTTTGTTCCTAAAAAAATATTGCTGTGACAGCATTTTCTGATTTATGATAAAGTGAAAGGAGGTGTCCAAAACCTCCTCGGTGAAACCTTCAACACTACATATTACATTCTATTGTCATCACTTACAAATGACGACAATAGAAGAAATATAAATGTATGATCATAGTGCGAATGCTTAATGTATTTGATGTTTGTTACCATCTCTCCCAGGCTAAAAATCAGATGCACTTCTGCTGAAGTCTCTAGCTGGAGGCAGGACTTACACGGACGAGTTGCAACGGGAAGGAGCTCCTATCAGGCCACTTCAACCAGCCCTGCTAGCAGCAGTAGAGGCATGAGCTCCAATGAATCCCTCTACCTCAGTGCCATCAGCAAGGAGCACAGCAGACCTCCATCCCAGCTGCTTTCTACTGCCAAAGGTGGTGTTCACTCGCAGATGACCTTTGCTTGCATGGATTGTGTTAGTTTTTTTTAAAAATGCTTTCTAAAGGTCGCATGGGAAATATTACCATAAACATACTCAGTAAGTAGCCGCTGAGAATATACACAGGAAAGAAGTTAAATTAAGCCACGGGCCAGCATCCATTGTTTTTCATGTAGCCCACAGGAATAAGATTGAATCTGAAGACTGATTTCCACCCTGTAGTATTTTTGTCTTTTCTATTTGACAGCATGGCTTCAAATGGCATAATATGAGAATGTGTGGCTTGTGCTTTTTGTTTGCTGTAATTTTCTTCTCTTCTCTCGGCTTCAGCCAAAGATGTTCAGAGCTGTGATGCCCCAACTGACTGGAGATCAAAGCCAAAGGCAGCTCCAAATGGACCAAGACTCAAGTAAGTTCGATCAGCCTAGTTATCCCTAATGCTTTCTAATCCACACGAGGGGAAGCAGGCAGAGTCACTCGGGTGTGAGCTGCAATGACTCTTCAGAGCTGGAGTACTGACAGTGGGGCCTTTCATGTATCCATCCTCTAGCCGGCGGATGCCTCCTGCCTCCCCCATAGTGTTTGACTGCCTCAGAGTGCATCCTCTCACTCTATCCCCAGTCCTCACCAGTCCCAAGGAGTGCTGTGCCTAAACCAACCTCCCCTGAAATGCTATGCTCTTACTTTGAGTTCCTCAGATGATCGTTCTTTTAGCTTTGTTTGCACCTACTGTATATAAGGTGAGGGCCTGCTTACTGTATGTTGGTTTTAAATTATGCTTTTGCGTCTTTTGAATGTTGTAAATGTGAACTATAATATACTGTTTTGCAACAAAATGCAGTGTTTCTACTTCAAAATGTTATGTTTAATTCA